TATGCTGTTGATTATTTTCTTGGCAAGGCAAGTTTATTTATATAGCACCTTTCAACACAAGGCATTTCAAAGTGCTTTACAAAAAACGAAAGACATTAAGAACATGGCATTTAAAATCAGTCAGCTTTCCACTTGAGAGGAAAAAGCTCATCACAGTTACCCAGAGTCCATGGAGACACATTTGAAGTGTTTGTCCAAAGCTCAAAGATATTGATTTTACAATGATATATATACAGGCTTGGGAGGGTACATTTAAAAACGTATTAAGTTACAATTACTACTTACCTGTATTTAAATGTAATCAGTAACTTAATCTGAAACTATAGAACTAATATAACCCGATTACTTTCCGTTACTTTTGGATTACCTCAATAAAATGCAATGGAAGTATAGAGAAAACAAATGGCGAGATCTTTTTTTTACTATTTAATGTGTCCTCTGCAAAGTGATTTAATCAACAGGAAAAACTGCCTTGTATAAAATATATTTGTTTTAATCTGCTGTTTTTTTGTTGGTTTAGTAACATTCTTATCCTGCTAGTGATTCCCACATTTTTTAAATGTATCAGTAATCTGATTACATATTTTTTCTAAATGTAATGTAACACAGCTACCTCTTTGTTGGGGGATTTGATGTGAAATCGTTATATGTAATCCATTACTCCCCAAACCTGGATATATAGCATCATAAAAGGCAGGAAATGTTCACATAAACTGTAACAAGTTTATACAGTATTTCTCATGTATTGCTCATAAAACAATAACAAAATGTGGGATTGTTATCAAGTTTCTGTCCAAAATGAATCCAGCCATTTGTTTCAGATTTCTGGCATGGTTTGTGTTATAACTTATTACTGAGTAGGGTTTTTTAAAAGAGAACAGAGAAAATGTTCTTGCAGGATTTCATTGAGGTTACATGTAATTGCAAACACAGGGGTCTTAGCCACAGCATGATTTCTGGGCACACCATCAGTAATCTGGATTTAGTCACGTCAATCCAACACAAAGCCAGCTAATATGGGCCTTAAAAAAAACGTTAGTCCATCACCAGTCTTGACTTACTATCTCAATATATTGACTTACTATCTCAATATATTGAGTTATACATATTTTTTTATTGAAACAATTATGTAAAATATAGAATAAGGCACATAGACATCAATGTACATCATATAAGCGGTACAACTTTATATTAAGGTACACAAATGAACCATCAACTAGTTGTTAATTAACATGCATATTAGCAGTATATTGGCTCTATTAGTCATTATAAAACACTTATTAATGCCTTATTCTACATGACCATATTCTACAAGTAATAGGCCATTAGTTGAGAGTTTTTCCTCATTAACCCTCTAATTAGTGCTTATATATTGCAAGTAAGGAAGTTGTACATGAGCTTTGGTCTTAATATGCTCTCCTCAATATGTCTAAATAACTCAAAATTAGGTATTTCTATCTTAAGAATATGTTCCCTATTTTAAAGTGAAGTCTTGTTCATAACCTTGTTGTGGAGGCGTGTGGCGCAGTGGATAGAGCCTTGGTGTTGGGATCAGGAGGTCACAGGTTCAAACCCCACTGCAGTCAGCATGTCGTTGTGTCCCTGGGCAAGACACTTCATCAAAATTCCTCCTGTGGGGATTGTCCATAGTATTGAGTATGTAAGTCTCTTTGGATAAAAGCATCTAACAAGTAACATATAATAACCAATAAGCTAGTAGTTTGACTCTAATTGACCTGAACAGGTTCCCTATTCTGAAGTTGCCTCCTCTTCACACTTTGTAAATACATTATAGTACACAACTACTGAAATTAACCTCAACAGCACATGAACAAAATAGGCACACGTTGAACTGTCTGTTTTATTAATGAACCACTAAAGAGAGGTTCAGACACATACAAAAACATGTCAAGTTTCTCCAAGGCTGAGAACACATACAGTATGCAGCCTGTACTTTTTAATAAAAACTTATTTTTAACAGAGTTTATGTATTGATGATCATACTGTGTGACCTGCTTGTATGTACTTACACAATAGGTGTACTGTTCTCTCTCTGTGTTGTACTGTCTCAGTGTGGAACATAGATTAAACAGCCAGCCAAACTCTTTTGAGAGCCAGGGAATGAGCAGCCATGCTCCTGACACTGACTTATTTGCAGTCCACTGACATTCAAACAGAGTGAAACTATAAAAAAAGAAGATACAAGGCACTTAATGATCTCATACATGCAAGTGTAACATACACAGATTACTTGTAGAATATGGTCATGTAGAATAAGGCATTAATAAGTGTTTTAAAATGACTAATAGAGCCAATATACTGCTAATATGCATGTTAATTAATCAACTAGTTGATGGTGAATTTGTGTACCTTAATATGAAGTCAATATATTGATATAGCTAAGTCAATATATTGAGATAGCTAAGTCAATATATTGAGATAGTAAGTCAATATATTGAGATAGCTAAGTCAATATATTGAGATAGCTAAGTCAATATATTGAGATAGTAAGTCAATATATTGAGATAGCTAAGTCAATATATTGAGATAGTAAGTCAATATATTGAGATAGCTAAGTCAATATATTGAGATAGTAAGTCAATATATTGAGATAGCTAAGTCAATATATTGAGATAGTAAGTCAATATATTGAGATAGTAAGTCAATATATTGAGATAGCTAAGTCAATATTGACTTACAGGATTTTTACAGGATTTATTTTTTTCCTGTGGCGCAAACAGGCTTCCATAAAAAAGGCCTCATTTTCAAAGTCCCTCCTACATAAATCCAGCAGAATCCTGGGAAACATTAGAGTTGGATCTGACTGTGCATCAGCATTTTAAAGTGTGCAGTTTGTTTGGATCCCTGCTCCACTCCCCATCAAAGACACGATAGCATTGTTAATCATCCTTCTACACTGCCATGAATTATTCAGCATGGCGTCCAGGGTGGCAAGTCCGTATTCAAACACGGACTTCTAATGCATCACATCCAGAGAACAGAAACAGCTTCATAAATACTACAGATGGTGTGTTCACTGTCTCCTTTTTGAAAGCTATATAGTCAATTAACTCGACTATATGTTGTTGACATAAGACTGTCATGTGAATCAACTAGCCTAAAACTGTCCAAATATCATGCTGTATTGGGCGTGTAATTGCAAAAAGCAAATTATTGAATAATAGCTGTGAAACACGGCTGGTAATCTCCAGAGATGAAGTGACATTTACAAAGATTAATTAACTTCCAAAGCTCAACTTCCATACGCCTTCAATTTTGCATCATCATGAAACCAGCATCAGACAAAAAGGAGCTGTTACATAACAGTGTAGGAAGAAGTACTCAGATCCTTTACTTAAGTACAAATACTACGGTCTTAGAGTATTTCATTGCAAGTAAAAGTCCTGATTTCAAAATGTGACTTAAGTAAAACTACAAAAGTATGAGCATCACAAATAAACTTAAAGTACAACATGTAAAAGTACTCATTCTGCACAATTACCTGTTTCAGAATAATAGCAAGCACATAAGTATTATCAGGTCATTGTACTTCAAGTATCAAAAGTAGTACTTAATTCTCATAGTATTATATTATTATTTGTATTATATTATCCTGTTTTTCTACATGTAAGAGCATTTCAGTATTGTAGTTTGTCAATGGAGCAATTTATATATGTGAAATACTTTATAGATTAGTGGTACAGTACTGCATTATACCATGTATGTTTTTTTATGTACAAAGTAAGTAGTAACTATGAGTGTTATATAAATGCAGTGGAGTAAAAAGTACAATATTTGTCTCTGAAATGTAGCCGAGTTTAAGTATGAAGTCGCATTAAACTAAAATACTCAAGTAAAGTAAAAATATGTCAAAATAGTAAATGTAATTTCCACCACTATGTAACAGTTTAATACCAACACACACACAGTCATGTAAATGTATGTGAACCCTGTGCTCCCAGGCCATGAATATATGTAGGTGGAATGTTGCCTCATGTAAAAGGTCAGATGCACTGCACTGTACAGTACATGTATGCTGAATATCCATTAATGAACAGGCTATTCTAAGCATGTTCTGTTCGAACATTTGGAAAACAAAGCCTTGTGTAACAGTCTACTGATAATTACCGAGTAAATCAATTAAAGCCTCTTCCTAGTATAGGCCATGCATGGATAAACGCAGCTGAATGCAACCAAGTGTGATGCCATAGGTATTCAAGGGGAAATCAAAGAGCTGAGGAGGGGTGAATCAGAGCACTACATGATTTGATTTCCTACTGTGTCACTAGGTGGCGCTGGGGAGACACTTATTATCAACATCTCCAAATATAGTTACCTCACTTTGTACAAATGATGTCTTAATTAGGTGCCATTAGTTCTGCACGCTTAATGTTAGGGATGTCATGCTCTGCGTGTTTTTACTTAGTATTTCATGTAAATCTGCCTGGATTTCAGAATCAGTATCAGAATCCTTTTATTCGTCCCACAGAGGGGACATGTACAATGTTACAGCAAAAGTAAAGATAGAGACAAAGAAATAAAGCACTATTACAGGGCATGCACATAATATTTTAAAGACATCATTTAACTTTTTTCAATTTTCAAAGTAGAAATCCGGGTACATTTCTACTTTGAAATCTACCCGGATTTATAAAATAAATTAAGTGTGACATGTAAACAGTGGTCAAAACATATGTTTCACAGAGTAATTTACAGATTCTTGTTGCAGTATTACAATTGTCAAACTAAGAAGGCAGCCAGTAATAATAATAATTCGAACTACGTACATATTCAGTGGTGTAGTCTTTGTTTTCTTGTAATTTTTTTACAGCTAAATGGAAAACAACATCTCCAGATTGTATTTATTTTTGTGAACATTCCTGGGCCCACACAATATGTTTTTTAATTTAGTACCACAACACACCAGAGGATGGAGCCAGCCAGCACCAGCGTCTCCACACCGCTGCTGCTGCTGCTGAGCGTAAAAGGGGCGTTTCGGAGCTTGGCAGCCTCTCTGCTGGCGGTGCCAGGTGTGTTCAAACCTGTAGCAGACAAACGCACCTCGCGGATGTCTCACGGCTCAGTCACCGTGGGCTGGATCTCCACAGCATAAACCGCCAACCGGTGATCGCCCGTCTATTTTCAGCCTGCCCACAGGTACGAGGGATTTCTCGTTGACGCACTACATTTCAGCGACACAATCCACCGCCGAGTGAGTAAAATCCTCTCTGTTTACATTTAGTTTTAACGACTTAGCGTCTGGAGGCTCATCTGGAGATGCGGATATGCTTCCAGAGTAGCGACGGAGAGCATGGCATGAACTATTCCCTTTTAAAAAGCATCTAGACGCCATCAACTCTGCAGTTTTACGCACAAGGAGCGCTTGGAATTATTGCTTCCCAGACATCTGTACGGACACCGTGGGATGACAACACTCTCGGGTTGAAAAGCAGCGTCCTAAATGTCAGGGAGATGAAATCCCCCTCAGCAGAAGCTCTGGAGAATATCTCCGGAAGGTTTATTAGGCCGCGTCACTTCGCCTTCATTTAACAGCAGCGAACCGAAGACACTGTTAGACCGTTTAGTTGTTCGTGAAAGGGAGTAACCATGTCCAGAACACTGAAGAAGAAGAAACACTGGTCCGGTAAAGTGGTGGAGTGCGCGGTGTCATGGGGGAACCTGGGGGACTTTGGCACCGTGGTGGAGGTTCTGGGTGGAGCAGAGCTGGGCCAGTTCCCATACCTGGGCCAGATGAAGCTGGACGTGCTGGTGTGTCACGTCGGGAAGCTGCCCTACTACGGGGACGTTTTGCTGGAGGTGAACGGGACGCCCGTCAGTGGACTTACAAACCGCGACACCCTGGCTGTCATCCGCCACTTTCGGGAGCCGATCCGCCTGAAGACGGTCAAACCAGGTGCGTCTCCTGCTTTCTTTTTACAAACGCTTCCTCCTGCTGCTGTGTCACCTGAGCCCCACCTGTTTTAACGTTGTGATATGTGGCGGTGGCACCCACCAAACACTACAATCCTCTTAATCATACACAAAAATATCCAATCTGTGATCACCTGAGGAAACACATCCTTTATTAGTATTCAAATCCACTCTTACATGCTCCTTCCTCTATAACTTAGGTGTATTTGTCTCCTTATGGTATATCAACCCATACATGCCAGATTAAGTTCACTAAACCATTTCCAAATCTGATCAAAAGGTAAATACAGTGAGTTAAGCTCCATCCATGTGATCTGTTTTCCACCTGCCAGGGACTGCAGAGGAAAATGTGCCTCTGGCTAAATCTGGCACATGTACATGATGGTCTTAAGTGCTCTTTAATGTGCATTGAAACTAAATACAAATTCCTGCACACTTCCCAAAGATGATATCAAAGACTGCTACTGTAAACCTCCTTCGGTCCCATGCCATCTAATTGGCCCATTCTCTCACCGCCTTCTCAGGGAGATCGAGTAGTGATAATGGTAATAATGGCATGTAGCCCAGTTGGAGCCTTCCCGGCTAAGTGCACTTACATGCATACAAATAAGGCCTAATTACTTCCTCTGTTATTCCGCTGCCCGTTGGCCACACCAGCCAGAATTGCAGCCCCTTGTCCTTCTGCATCTAGCTCTCCAAAGATGCTGGCTGCAACATCCAAACACTCTGATAATAATGTCCAATAGCTGCGAAGGTCTGAAGCAGCTGGTTCTGTTTACTGGTGATGGAGATGGCCTTACATTGCTTGTATGCAGGAGCTGGAATGTCTAAACAACATCTGAGTGCAAAAGGTTACATCAGCTGAGTGCCACCTCAGGCCAGGATCCATGAAGATCAGATGTGCACACGCCTACTTATTGTGTTTGTGGTCTTTTTCTAGGAGTTTCCTGTATTTTCTTAATAAACATTGTGTTGATTTTGACTTGTTTTATACGCAAACAAGAGATGAAAGGGGAATGTGTGTGTGTGTGTGTGTGTGTGTGTGTGTGTGTGTGTGGTGTGTGTGTGTGTGTGTGTGTGTGTGTGTGTGTGTGTGTGTGGTGTGTGTGTGTGTGTGTGTGTGTGTGTGTGTGTGTGTGTGTGTGTGTGTGTGTGTGTGTGTGTGTGTGTGTGTGTGTGTGTGTGTGTGTGTGTGTGTGTGTGTGTGTGTGTGTGTGTGTGTGTGTGTGTGTGTGTGTGTGTGTGTGTGTGTGTGTGTGTGTGGTGTGTGTGGCTATCCCCAGAGGCCCTAACACCACGCTCTCTGCCCCAATAACCAAGGATGATTAATAAAGGGCAGGGAAAGAGAAACACAAAGAGGGAGAGACAAAAAGAGATGGGGAGAAAAATCGGCTCTGCCTTTGGCTCTAGGCTTAACTCCCACACAAGGCTCCTTTTTTCCCTCTTTAAATCTCACAGGGAACTAATAGGTGGCAGAGATGGCAAAAATCCTCATTACCCTTTCCCTTCTCTGTCACTCTTACCTGATTGGCCTATTTCCTGCCGTATGTAATGTTACAACCAACTTGGATCAGCTTTGCATGGGTCTGTTTGCCTCACAACTCCCCCCTGGCGCTAGCATACAGATGGGGTTGTTATATTGTATGATTACATATTGTGCATGTGTGTACGTCTGCGCTGTGTGTGTATACATCCCTGTGTGGAAGCCTCATGTTTAATTCACACCTCTTGCATAATTGAGTTAGCGAGTGGATTTGCTACAGCCTGATGGAGGCAGTGGGCCTGGAGGATCAGCTGTTACCAGGAAGCCCGGGAATCTGCGATTGACATGACGGCGCCCCGGCAGCGACGGACAGCCTCTCTGGGTCTACCAGATGTCCCCCCCCCCCCTGCACTCTTCCCAAGATCCTCTTGTGCTCCGCCTGCCTTGCCCTCTGGTGCTGGTGCGCTTTGCTCCTGCTGCTGACATCTGGGAGGAGCAGAAGAGGTTGTACTAAAAAGACTGAAACGTTGACTTTAATTAAATGTATTATGGCACCACATTTCACATAACTGTATACGGTTAGTTAAAAGCAATATTAAGTTGAACCGTTATTTAAACTTAATATTATTATTATTACAGTTATGCGAAATCTGTTGACACAATGCATTTAATTAAAGTCAACATCTCAGTTGTTTCTGCATGTATAGAGAGGGTGCAAACACCAGAAATGGGGATTTGAGGCGTCGATAGGGAGACAGGATGCAAGATACAAGTCTCTATGGAGGCTATTAGCTATCGAGCAATTGATCTAAACTGAAAGAGTTGAACACAGCACTCACTTTCTGCTTCTGGCGCATCATATAGGCTACTCTCCAAGGGCCGCCAAGAGGCTTCTCTCACATGCATACATCCTCACGTAGATACCTTTTTACTGTTGGAAAGGAGGAGGTTCACACCTATACCAAGACTTCACAATGTACCGTGAGGCGCTCATTTCCATGTTATCTTTGATTAAGCTGAGAGATGCCTCTATTAAAAGCCCGGCTCTGTGCTCGGTACAGGAATCTATTTGTGCCCGTACCCCCAGCTAAGAATCGGAGGAAAAAAAGATGCGTGATGAAAAGCTTCATGAATGGCATCCCAGAATTCCTTTTTTCTGCTGCTCGGCTATTTTCTGCTGTGCCTCCTATATGTTTGCTGCTTCAATCACGGTGCAATCTAAACATACATACAACCTGTATGTATCTGCAGCTGAATGGATGATGTCTCTAACATCAAATGAATAATCCCTCAGTGCAGTAACACAGTGCAGCTAGTGAGGCACGCTTTCATTTGATGATTTAAACTTGCTATGTGGAAGCGCATGTGTACAAGCCCTCTTTTTAAATGCGTTGCTCTGCAGAGTCATAGCTGTGTCTCAGTCAGACAGCTAGGTTTTTTTTTGTAATATGATCATGAAATCTAACCAGTCACCAGATTACAGGTATATTTAATTACAATTGTAAATAATTAATAAACTCAAACACCTTCGCGGTTGTTGAGATAACAGCATTTTATTCAGAATCAGAATCAGAATACCTTTATTAGTTCCACAGAGGGGACATTTGCAGCGTTACAGCAGGAAAGAGCCACAGACAGCTTAGTGTTGCATATCTTACATGCTTTAAAAAAAGTACTAAGTTATAATATAATAAACAATATGCTAAAAAAGTACTAAGTTATAATATAATAAACAATATGCTAAAAAAAAAGATTAAAAGTTACATAATTTTCAAAAATACAGATCAAAAACAAATCAAATCTACAAATCAAATCCTGTAGCAGTTTTTAGGATTTAGCAGCCCGGTATATATTACAGTTATTAAAGATGGCATATGTTTATAAAGTATAATATATACTTTATAAAGCACATATTGCACATAGTTTGACGGTATTTAACAGCAGCAAGTTACACAATTTACAAAATACAAGATACACCTTGTAACAGTAACAAGGGTTTAGCAGAAATTACACAGTTATTAACGGCATATATATATATATATATATATATATATATATATATTGATTTAGCGGCCAGGTATAAATTACACAGTTATTAATGGCATATATATATTGCATATATAGCACATATTGCACAAAGTTGGTTTGTATTTAGCAGCAAGGGGTGTTACAGTCTGTGTTGTGGTGTGTGTAGGAGGGTCTACTAGGGGCAGTGCTGGTTGAAAAGTCTGACCGCTGCAGGAAGGAAGGACCTGCGGTATCTCTCCGTGAGACAGCAGGGGTGCAGCAGCCTGTCCCTGAAGGAGCTGCACAGTGAGGACAGGGTATCCTGGAGGGGGTGGGACACATTGTCCAGCAGGGAGGACAGCTTGGCTGCCATTCTCCTGTCTCCCACCACCTCCACAGTGTCCAGAGGACTCCCCAGGACAGAGCTGGCCTTCCTTACCAGTCTGTTCAGTCTCTTCCTGTCAGCAGCCGAGATGCTGCTGCCCCAGCAGGCCACACCAGAACAGAAGCTCCACAATCCCACACAGCTCATCTGCACAGGATTTGAGGAGCCTCGAGCTGATGCCATCTGGACCTGCCGCCTTCCTCGCCTTACACTTCTGCAGCTCCCTCCTCATCTGCAGGTTGTGAGGGACAAGGTGTCGTCAGCGGGTGGAGATGAACCGGGGGTGATGTGAGAAGTGTCTGTGAGCTGATGGCCGGGGGCTGAGTAGAGGTGGGAGAGGTAACAGGGCCATTTCCAGGCAGTGGGGACAATGGGGGGTGCAGCAGGGGGGAATGGGTCGGGGGGGGGGAGGGAGGGAGGCGCATGACTGATCAAATCTGTTGAAGAAGATATTCAGGTCGTTTGCCCACTGGTGACCTGGGAGTCTGGCTCTTTGTAGCCAGAGATGGTTTTTAAGGCCTCTCCAGACTCCAAGGGTTAGGAGTTGGTTAGGTTGGGAGTTAATAGTAATTTTTGAGAATTGTTGATGTGATAATTAGAGTGTATTCAGTCAGGATGGCATCATTCATCTATTTCCGTAAGCTATAGTTAAAGAGGCAGATTCTTAATGACCTTGAATGCTGTGGTAAAAGAGAAATTGAAAAGATGTTGCTCTAGTTTATAATTTGGGTTGTCAGCTTCTGCTCACACATCACCATATTTTCTATTACCTGCTGATCACGCCAATAAAGAAGAAAGCAGATAGACATGAGTCCCAAAGACCTTGAATGAAACTGCAATAGTGTGTGGGTTAATCTCATTAATGCACCTCTCATATCAGGAAGTGCCTCTCAGTGAAATCATCCTCTTGACAGGCGATGCTTTTGTCACTGTAAAAAGATTTGTAGTCGGCTGCAAAAGAATGAGGATTGATGGTGAGAGTTAGAACCCAGCAGCCAGGTGAGTGGTCGAATGACTGAAGACATCTGTTCTGTTCGCGCCTTCGAGATGTTTCAGCTGGATGGAGAGGGGTGCGTTCACGTCCGCTGCTCATATCATGGCACATAAC